TTACATAGCAGCTCCTTAGAACCTCAGCTCAAGAAAAGAAGCAACCTGACCCAGTCCTCCACACACAGGCTCTGTCACCTAAGCAACCCTTCCTGGACATCTTATTCATAAAATGTTTACCTTGCCAAACATCCTATTTGTGGCTTCCTAATATCCTGCCTATACCAACACTTGGCGTGCAAACAATCCATTCTACGCCTATATATGCTGGCGTGAGAAAAGTAAAGTTTGCCACTTGATCAGAATCCTGTCTTGTGGTCCTTCTGTGTCTCTTGTCCCCATTCCCTTTCCCTGACTCTCTTGCCCCAGGTTGGTGTCCTGCAGGACGGGACACTCCTTGAAGTCTTCAGTCAGGTGTAGAGGGTTACAGTAAGATGTTCTGCAGGAAGAAACTACAGTTAGACTTGTGTTTTGAATCCTAGCACACAGCAAGCTGAGGAAGAAGAGGAAGGGTTATGGGATATGCATGAAGTTTAAGAAGTTCTATTTTAGAAACCAAACCAGAAGCTAATGAACCACAGAGAGATAGAAGCCATACATTCTAGAGCCCAAGCCATCACAGCATAGGGAAGAAGAGTCAGGAGCCTGGTTAGAGTAGTTCCTGTTTCTCAACAGATGCTAATGACATCCTCATGACAAGGATCAGAAGCCAGCCTTTAGCAGACACACAACTTGTGTCTGTGTGTTTGGAAAGGAGACCAACTATCTGAAAATTTCTGTCAACTCGAAGATGCCATGACCCCTTTTCTTACAGTCTTGCTGTATCTTGGTGAGATACCAAATTGGGATGAGGAATTCTTGTGTGAGAGAGAATCCATATCACAACCATGATTCGGGCCACTAGGATGTCTCATCAGCTCCAGAAGGCACCAAGAATTGGATAATCTACTCCCATTTCAGTGCAAATGCTCACAGGTAACTCTCTTACAGGAATGAGTCTGGACATCAGGATCCCAGTGCTGGCAGGTGAGTGTCTTCCCAGCTCCCAGATTGGACACCATGATGGGGAATCACAGGTAACTCATGAACAGAGCAGATGGAGAACAGACAATGTGACCTGATGCTGGAGGGCTTTAAAAGTCCTGGGTCTGAGAGCTTGTATCTGAGAATGAGCTCTGGGGAACAAACTGTCATTTTTTTCAGGAACCATTTCTAAATCTACACTCAGGGCAGTTCCAAGTAATGTGGTGGCTGCTGGGGAGCAGGTAACATTTTTGTGTGAAGTACCTTTGGCGGCCAAGGAATATGGTCTCTACAAAGAAGGAAGTCAAGATTACCTGATACCAACAGACATTCTAGAAACTGAGAAAAAGGCCACCTTCTCTATCTCATCTGTTCAATGGTACAATGCAGGTCAATATTGGTGTAAATATAATAGCACCAAGGGCACAACAAAATCCACTGACATCCTGGAGCTGGTGGTGACAGGTGATGAATGCTCCCCCAACCC